GTGTTTCTACAATTTTGTGTCTTTTATTACACTACTTTATTCTGCATCATTGTTTAGTTTTTTGGATATATAGGTCCTCGACAGCAGGGAATTTATCTTTATGTTTCTCTTATCAATGACCACAGTCTATCATGTTTCTTATATTGAATTGAATTTCTGGAGGTGATTTAAAGATATCTAAATTATATCTGGTTTATTCTGAATGATGAACATTTCATTTCTACTCCTTTGAGGTAGAAAGACTTAAGAATTTTCTCTTTCTATTAAGGAGTGGCCATGTGACCAGATTGGGTTTGTCTATGGTAGAATTTCCTCTCCCTCCACATCTGACATGTGCAGTAATAAAAGCTGCTTCTCTGGACTGTGAAGATCTGTTACTTCCAATAGCAGCAATGTTGTCTGTGGAAAACGTCTTCATTAGACCTGGTAAGACGTTTATTGATGAGGTTTATTTTTAGTTAATAGACTTTATTTTTTAGAGCAGTTTTAGGTTTATAGAAAAATTGAGGGGAAGTACAGACACACAAAGTTTCCCCTAGTTTTCTCTTCTTTTGTTAGTATGACACATTTGTTACAATTGATGAGCTAATATTGATACATTATTATTAATTAAAGGGATCACTGTATTGTATATTCTGTGTGTTTTGACAATTCTGTAATGACACATATCCACTAGCATAATATTATACAGAATAATTTCACTGCTCTCAACGTCCCCTGAGCTTCAGCTATTCATCCCTACATCCCTTCCGCCAAACCCCTGGCAACCATTGATTTTTTTACTGTCTCCATAGTTTTGCCCTTTCTAAAACTCCATTACTTAGAATCATACAGGAGTTAGCCTTTTCACATTGGCTTCTTTAACTTAGCAACGCACATTTAAGTTTCCTCTGTGTGTTTTTGTGACATGATAGCTCGTTTTTGTTTTTATTGATGAGTAAAATTCCATTGTATGGAATTTATTTATCCATTCACCTATTGAAGGACATCTTGGTTGCTTTCAAGTTTTGGCAATTATGAATAAAGCTGCTATAAACATCTATGCGCAGGTTTTTGTGTGGACAAAAGTTTTTAACTTATTGCTGAATCGTATGAGAATATGATTAGATTTGTAAGAACCTACCAAACTGTCTCCCAAACCTTCCAAAAGTCTGCACCATTTTGCAAGGAGTCTGAGGATTCCTGTTGTTCCGTATCACCAGCATTTGTGTTGTCAGTGTTTTGAATTTTGGCATTTTAATAGGTATATGGTGGTATCTCATTGTTTTAATTTGCAGTTCCCTAATGACACATGTTAACCATCTTTTCATGTGTTTATTTGCCATTTGTATACCTTCTTAGGTATCTGTTCAGTTCTTTTTTTAATTGAGTTCTTTGTTCTCCTATTATTTTTTTTCCTATTATTGAGTTATAAGATTTCTTTGTATATTTTGGATAACAGTCCTTTATCATATATGTCTTTTGCAGATATTTCCTCCCAGTCTGTGGCTTGTCTTCTCATTCTCTTGACGTTGTCTTTTGCAGAATAGAAGTGTTTAATTTTAATGAAGTTCAGCTTATCAATTATTTCTTTAATGTGTAATGCCTTTGGTGCTTTCTCTGAAAGTCATCACCATACTCAAGGTCATCTACATTTTCTCCTATGTTATCTTCTAGGAGTTGGATATCCGTTTGTTCCAGCCCCATTTGTTCAAAAGACTATCCTTTCTCCCTTGGAATGCCTTTGCTCCTTTGTCAAAGATCATTTGATTGTATTTGTGTGGGTCTGTTTCTGTATTCTCTTTTTTTTTTCCCCCCCTTTAATTCCGGTCCGCCCCACTTCCACCCCTGACGTATGGATATTGCCGTTTCTCTTTAAGAACTGGATCTCTGAAGGTGGGGTGTGGTCCGTGGCTCCACCTGGGGCACGTACCCAGGACGTGCTGCATGCAAAGCAGACCTGCTAACCACTACACTATGCAGCCACCTCCCTGTATTGTCTTTCACTGGTCTGTTTTTCTGTTCTTCTGTCAATACCACACTGTCTTGATTATTGAAGCTATATAGTAATTTTTGAAGTTGGGTAGGGTTAGTTTTCTAACTTTGCTCTTCCCCTTTAACACTAATTTGGCTGTTCTGTGTCTTTTCTATATAAACTTTAGTAGCGGTTTGTGGATGTCCATGAAATAACTTGCTGGGACTTTAATTGAGATAATGTCAAATCTATAGGTCAAACTGGAGAGAACTGACATCGTGACAATATTGAGTCTTCCTATTCATGTACATGGAATATCTCTAGTATTTCACTGAGCATTTTTTGATTACCATATACCTAGTCCTGTGGGACATGAAACTGAGGACAGTTCTTTTACATTTTGTTACCCTTTAACTTAGTTGTTTGAAATAGGGAGTATTTAACGTTCCTGGCTGAGAGTTAATTTTCTTTCATTAGTAAAGGAAGATAGTATAGTGAACCTTTGCCCTGTTATAGTACATTAGTAATATATTAACCTTTTTTTGTTTGTTTGTTTTTTAAGAATCAAAAGAAATGGTAGTTAGGCTCTTGTACCCTTAGAGAATTGTTCCAAGGTTTCCATGTCTTTAAACTTTTACTTCTTTCCTTTCTTGGTGTGTCAGTATGAGACACAGCTTAGTTTGTCCTATGTCAGCTTTGCTTTCTTTTAGTTGGGGTCATAATTTTTCATTTGTAAAATCAGTCAATTGGATTAAGGTGATCCAATACTAATAGTTTTATAAGGCCAGAAAAAGGAAATGTTTTTCCTTGTTGGAATATTTGAATAGATGAAGCCAGTCTAGTGTTAGCCTTCTTTTTTGGGGGCGGGGCGGGGGAGAAGGCGTAATATTTTATAAATACAATTTCATACTTACAGAAATGTTGAAAGAATAGAAAAGGAACCCTTTTATATCTTTTATTTAGCTTTGCTTATTAAAAATAAAATTTTTAACATTTTGCTGTATTTGCTTAATCTATATAATTACATGTATATATGTATACATACACAAGTATTTATAAATATATGTTTTCTTTTGGTGAATCATTTGAGCATAAATTGGAAACATTGTGCTGTCTTACCACAAAATATTTATATGTATATTTACTAGGAACATGGGCAATCTCTTATTTAGCCATAGTACATTTATCAAAATTAGGAAATTTGACATTGTACAGTAGAATTATCTAGTCCAGAGTCTGTATTCAAATTATCTGTTTCCCTAGAGTATACAAAAGTAGTTTCAGAATTGCTAAGCTATACTACTGTGAAAGGCAACACTGTATAACTAGAGTTCAATATTTACTTATAGTTGTTTTTTTTTTTGAAGTGAAGTTTACATGTAGTGAAAAGTATAAGTCTTAGGTATATTTTGTGAAATGCATATACTGATAACCCACAGCCCTGTCAAGATATAGTACAGTTTTATCACTCCAGAAAATACCATCAGTGCTCCTTCCCATTAGGATGCCATCCCACCTTCCCCCAGTCAGCTACTTTTCTGAGTTTTTTTCAGGTTAGTTTTGCCTCCTCTGAAACTTCATATAAATAGAATTATATAATACATACTTTTTTGTGTTTGGCTTCTTTTGGTCAACATAATGTATGTGAGATTCCCTCATGTTGTATGTTATCAGTGCTTTGTTATGTTTATTATTGAGTAGTATTCCATTGTGTGAACGTACTACAATCAGTGTATCCATTATCCTATTAATGAACATTTGAATTTTTACCTTGGTGTTATTTATGAATAAAGAAAGCTATTTTGAACATTCTTGTACAAGTTTTTTGTAGATGTATATTTTTATTTCTCTTAGGTAAATACCTATGAAAGGAATTGCTGTATTGTTGATTAGGTATATGTTTGACTTTAAGAAATTGCCAACCCTTTTCCCAAAATGGTGTACTGTTTTAAAATCCCATCAGCAATGTTTGAGAGTGCAGCTTGCATGACATGTTCTCCTCAATATTTGGTGTTTCCAATCATTTTCATTTTATACATTTTATTATATATTAGTGATAGCTCTTTGTGGTTTTAATTTGCATTTCTCTGATGACTGATAATTTTGAGTGCTTTTTCATGTGATTGTTGGCCATTTGTCTTCCTTTGTGAAGTGTCTATTAAAATCTTTTGCCTGTGTTTTCACATTTTAAAAAATATTGAATCTGGAAGTTCTTTATTTTTTTTGGATAGAAGTTATTTGTTAGATACGAGTTGAACAATTTTTTTCCCAGTCTGGCTTTTCTGTTTACTTTCTTAATGTTTTTTGATGAGAGAGGTTTTGAATTTTGATAAAGTCTGATACATTAATATTTTTGTGTGTGTGGTTATTGCTTTCCCATGCTAAGAAATCTTTTCCTACCCTAAGATCATAAAAATATACTTCTGTCTCATATCTATATTGATATTTTGACCTAGTGGCTTTACAGTTTCTAGCTTTTTAGAATAGTGATACATCTGAAATCAGGTTTTGCATATGGTATGAGGTAGAGGTCTAGGTTACTTCTTTTCTCTGAATATCCACTTGTTTCAGCGCATTTGTTCAAAAGATTTACTTTCCCCCATTAAATTGCTTTGGCACCTTTGTTGTAAATCTCTGGATTGTATATGTGTGAGTCTATTTCTGGACTTTATTTTATTCCACTGTTCTGTTTGTCTCTATGTTAATGCCACTTTGATTATATAGCTTTATTTTATTCCACTGATCTGTTTGTCTCTATTTATGTTAATGCCACTTTGATTATATGATAAATTTTGAAATTTAATAGTGTAAGTCTTTCAATATTGTGTTTCTTTTTGTATATTGTTTTGGTTATTCTATATTCCTTGCATTTCCATATAAATTTTAGAATCAGCATATCAGTTTCTTCAAAAAAAGCCTGCTAGATTTTGATAAGGATTCTGTTGAACTTTTTATTGGCTTTTTGCTATCTCTTAACATATTTTTGCTCCAAAGATTATAATATACATCTTTTAAAAACAATTTACTCAAAATTAATATTTTATTGCTTCATGTAAAATATAAGACTTTGCAACAATTTAGTTCCATTTACCTCCCCATCATATGCATTGTTGTTGTCATAATTATTTCACTTATATATATTACAAATGTACAATATAGTATTATAATTTTTCTTTTAAACCTTCATATGTCTTTGAAAGAAGAGAAGAAAATTAAGTCCTTTCTAGAGCTGAAAGTGTAAGTCTAGGTATTGGTTTTTAAATTTTTATTTAGAATCCCCTGTTTGTAGATGGACTATTGACTCAATTTTTCAGCTTTTCAGGTTGTTCAGGTGTTAAATTTAATTATGTGTTATTTGTTTTTTATCAGCTCCTTGAGGTGGTTTTGGTATCTTAAAGGCCTTTATTTGGGGACCTACACTTTAACAAAACATTATTTGGAAATGAACTGTATTTGTAGGCACTTAAGAGAAAAGACTTCCCTTTGCTAGCCTAATATTTGCCCTTAGATTTATAGGTCAATCTAATAGAAATAGCTAATAGAAATATGACTTGTATTCCGTGCTTTGATTTGGTGAGACATTTTTAAGTTTTGTCTTTGTAAAGACAAGACTTTGTAACATCACTTGATCTCAGTGATGTTAATGGATATGAAACATGAATTATCCCCAAAGCACTAAGGTAGCTCAGATTTATCAGTGTTTCTAAATTCCACACAACAAAAATGTGGCTATAAAGCAGTGGCCTTTTCTGTTGTTATGTCAGACTCAGGATTGGGTTTATTTTCCTTAGACACTGACCGAGGCCTCTTTTTTAAAAAAAAAAAATATGTGTGTTATTATTGTCAAATATATTACATTTCTATGTTACAGGGCCAACAATATAATTTTATAGATGATATTTCATTTAATTTCTTTTTAAATCACATAAGGTCATAGAATAAATAGTCATATATAGTCTTTTTTATTTACCTATATATTTCCCTTTTTTTTTTTTTTTGCCTACAGAACCAGGTCTTCCTAGGTAGTCTCCCATCCAAGTACTAACCAAGCTCAACCCTTATATATTTGCTTTTACTAGCGCTATTTTTTAGTGTCTTTTAAATTACTGTCTGGTGTCACTTCCTTTCAGCCTGAATAATTTTCTTTGTTATTTCTTATAAGGCAGGTATGCTAGTAATGAATTCTCTCAGGTTTTGTTATATGGGAATGTCTTTATTTCACCTTCATTTTGAAACATAATTTTGTTGGATATAGGATTCTTGGTGGACAGTTTTTTTTCTTTCAGCACTACGAATATGTCATCCCATAGTCTTCTGTCCTCCATCATTTCTAATGAGTCAGTTGTTAATTTTACTGGCCTCCTCTTGTGCAAAATAAGTCATTTTTCTTTTGCTGCTCTCAGTAGTTTGGCTATTATATGTCTGTGAATCTCTTTGCTTTTATCCTACTTGGAGTTCATTAAACTTCTTGAATGTGTAGATTAATTTTCATCAAATTTTGAAAAACATTCAGCCATTATTTCCTCAATAATTTTCTACCCCTTTCCTCTTTTTTTGATACTCCCTGTGTCAAAAAAATGTGCCCCACATTTCTCTGAGACTGCTCATTTTTCTTCTTTTTTCCTCCTCTTTTCTTTGGATTGCATAGTTTCTCTTAATCTCTATTTTGCTGATTTATTCTTCTACGCTTGAGCCCCACTTAGTGAAGTTTTCATTTCATTTATTGTATATTTCAACTCTAACAGTCAGCCACTGATTGGTTGGAAGTTGTACCTAGGCCCCTAAAGCCAGTAATGTTTTCACCCTTTACTGTTGGATCTGTGTTGTATGGTTTAGAGACAGTTCAGGATTCAGGGAGTTTATGAGTTTGTCCTCTGTTCAGCCAAAATCAGAGGCTCAGATGTTCCCTTTCCTTTTGCTTCTCAGAAGGTACAACCTTGGGCATCTGCACAGTCCTCCAGAACATTAGGACAACTATGGTTTTCGCAGGTTTCTCTGATCTTTCTGTTAAATATTTGGCTGGTCTGCCTCTGTTGGTACCATACCAAGCTGTTAGTCTCCATTGATTGCTCTGTTGTATTTGACAGTACCCTTTGGCATAAATTGCTCCATAGTCTGATCCAGATAAAGTTAGGCACCTTTGCAGGGGCAGACTGTTGCCAATCTTTGACAATGTTTGCCCTCACCCTCCCCTGGGAAGAATCTCTCTGCTGTAGAGCAGGAGCTGGGGATTGATTGGGAACCTTCTCTTCACTGGCTGCCTGGCCCAGATCCTCCCTACAGAGCAGAAGCAGGGGATGGGAGAGGTGATGGGAGGTAGTGGAAACTTCAGCTACCACCCTGACTAGTATATATCTTTCTTAGCACATCTTACCAAGATGAGCTCTGTGGATATTTACTGGCTGCCAAAAAATAAATAAATAAAAAAAATATTTGAATAACTCTAGGAAACTGGGAGCAGTGGGAGCTACCACTCAGCTGCTGAACTCACTAGAACAGTTCTTCTACAATACAGAGCTGTAAAGGAATGGAGGTCCGCACTGTCATTAGCTGGTCCTCCATTCAGTAGCTGTTCAGCTTTGATCCTTCCTACAGAGTAGTAGCTAGAGGGGTGAGAGAAAGGGTGCCACTCTCAGTCTGCAAAGCCCTCTGGAATAGTTCTTCACACAAAGCTTTGGGAGAATGGATGTAGTTCCTATTGTAATGCAGTGCTTCCTACTGTTCTTACTGAATTCCACGGAGTCAATCACTAGAGACTTTGAATGATTGTCTTTGAGAATTTTAACTAGTTTATTAGATGTCTCTTGGAGAGAGGTTCTACCTAATTCCTCACACCACCATTCCCTATATAGGTGTATAGTTAAAAATTCAAATACTACAAAAGAAACTAAGTGAAAAGTCTTTCTCTCCTAAACTTATCCCCAGGTCTGATTCCTAGAGGCACCAATTGCTACCAGTTTCTTATTCATATTTAGGGAGATATTCTTCCTATATATACATATGACCTAAATTTAATTTTTTAGCCTGGATCATCAAGATCTTTAGCTGCTGCAAAATGCAGACTTGCTGAGATCTTGTTACAGCCCGAATGTATTGGCTTTCCAGCTGCTTGTAAATGCATTTACAGTTCTTGTAGGTTAAGCAGTCCTTTCTGGCTTGGATCTTTGTCATTGTAGATCACCTAATTTAGTTATTGGTAAAACTGGCTAGTATTATCAGATCTAACATCGAATAAAGATTTTAAACATCAAAGTGATGATACTGTCAACATATTTAGTAATCTCTTTTACTGTAGTAAACTGTACACAATGTCTGCTTTTATAGATATTGTTTTAGGAGTGAGAGCTGTTAAATATTTTTTAGCTGATAAGCAGCTTTGCCTTAAAATGGAACAAATTTAAATAACAACATTAGGTTGGTTTTAAAGTTTTAATTTTAACTGTGATATTTTTAGAAGTAAAGGGTACTTTATTTGTATGTGACACTTACAGCCTTATTCCCCTGCTTCAGCTCCAAGGACTGTTACTGAAACCCTTTCTGTGTAACAGTTTTGTTTTCTGATTGATTGCTATATAGAAAAATATTGAATTATCTTCCAAAGAGAGAAGTTTAGCTGATATAGGCTTGCTTTGCTGCTTTCGCTTTTTATTTATAGTCTTCGCCTCAATAGCATGTACCTATTTGCATGATGTATAACTGATAGAATTTTATATGGGGAAAAATAATAAAGAAAATGATCAGTCTCCTGGGAAAGTAATTAAAGATGGATAGAAGATGAACTTACTGAGATTATAGGAACTATATGTGATATGGACTTCAACTTTACTATATTCTCTCTCCTTTTGTCTCTAGCAGCTTCCTTCAGTTGTTAACGAGGTAACATAGGTAGAAGCTACTTAAAATCTAGGATGGAACATTTTATATCTTCTTGAGTGTTTTCTTTAGTCAGATTGCTTTCCTCCTAATAACAGGAACTGCTGCTTTGCAGATTCCCATTGTAGTCTATATAAATACTGCTCCCTGGAATCAGGCAACATGGTACCTTTGCTAAATCAAGCTGTGATGGGTAGACTGAATGAATAGGAATTGTGGTATGATGTGGTACAATGAAGGAAAGAGTCCTAGGAAATTCTGAAAAATTAGATTCTGAAATGTTAGCCTGCATAAAGTGTTACATGGGGAGCTTGGATAGTCAGAGCATATCAGTCCTGAGTGGGATTGAGTCAAAGGCAGAAACAGATAAATTTCAAAAAACAAAATGTTGGGCAAAAGAAACCAGACACATAAAGAGCATTTATACAAAATTTAGAAACAGGCAAAGCCCTTCTCTGGAGTTAGAAGTCAAGATAGAGTTACCCTGTGGAGGTGAACAGTTGTTTATTGGAAGGAGAGCAAAAAGAGGGCTTCTGGGATGTTGGTAGTATTCTGTTTGTTGATCTGGGTGTTGGGTACATTAGTATGGTATGTTTATGAACATTCATTGAGCTGTACACTTATGACCTGTGTCATTTTCTGGATGCATGTTATACTTCAATATAAAGTTAATAAAGAAAAATAAAAAGTTTGTAGTAGTTCGGTTTGTGTCCTAATTGCCCATAATTAGGAATTGGATAAATAGAAACTGGTTAAATTATATTATGTTCCTGATACCCCTGGGGAATACAGTGTAACTATTTTGAGAATGAGTAATTCCGTATGTACTGACATGAAGCTGTTATTAAGTGAATAAAAGAGGTTTCAGAACATATCGCATTTATGTAAAAATAAATCATTATATACATATATTTGTATATACTTGGAAAATATCTTAAAGAACACACAGTAAGTAATTAACAGTGGTTAGCCTTGAGGATTTGTTTATGGGTAATATGACAAAGTGGAGAACGTTGGAACTTTTACATAATTTTAAAAAATGTGAGCATGAGTTACTCTTATGATAAAAATGAATTTAAAAAATAAATTCCAAATACTATTTTAAAGGCATATAGATTGGGAAAAGTGATGTTACTATTCTGGTAAAATCTCCTAAAAGAAGAAGAGGCATTATGGGAGTAATTAGAGCCCCCTAGAAGAGTTAATGTAGTTCCACCTTACTCCTTATTCCCCAGTGGGTGAGGCGGATTTTAATAAGCTTGAATAAACAAAGTGAATGTAGGTACTTCATGTAAAGTATAATCAAATTGCCTTTCCAATTGTCATTTTAGTTGATCCAGAGTACCAGAAGGAAGCAGAACTGAGACATCGAGAATTGGCAGCTAAAGCTGGAGGATTTAATGACTTTGCAACTTTAGCTGTCATCTTTGAACAGTGCAAATCAAGGTATGTGAGTTCTATGTACTGGAAATTGTCAATTTGAAGTATAGCTCCAGCATGTACTTACTATGTGACTTTAGACAATTAGATTCAGGGAGGATGATATTGACCTCAAAGTATTTTTGTGAACACTGGTTATATTTATCTATGTCATGTGACTGTTATTTAATAGGCATTTATTATGTACTATTAGTTCTGTTCTTTCCAAAAAAAATGACTTTATAGAATTTTGGTTCTATATAAGTAGGTTAAATGTGAAAATAATTGGATATTTGTTAAAGCATATGTATATAAAAGGAAATCTATTTATAAATTATTTTTTAATTCACTCAGAGACACCTATGTCAGTTTTTGAAATTCTTTGAAGTGCTTTTTCAGTAGTTGGACAGGTCTCATAAAAAAGCTAGCAGTTGCTTTTGGGTTTCTAGTTTTTGTAATAGAAATGAGAATGTTAGACTGTCCTTCACTTATAGAAGGTATTTTTGAGATACTGGTGTTTTTGTTTTACAGTGGAGCTCCAGCTTCATGGTGCCAAAAACATTGGATTCATTGGAGGTGCTTATTTTCTGCATTTCGTGTTGAAGCTCAACTTCGAGAACTAATTAGGAAGCTTAAACAGGTGATTGCTTTAAAGGCTTTTTTCTTGAGTAGCATTTTGGCAAGACCCTCTGAGTACCAAAACCATGTAAATTATGAGGTTCTAGTTTGGCTTGTAGGAACAGACACCCTTCCTAACCCTGTATGAGCACCAAGCACTGTAATCTCTTATCCTTCTAGGTGGTTCTTTTTCTGGCCTTGGGTAGTTTCCTCATATTCATGTGCTAATTAGTACTCACTGAACCCTTGAGGATCCCCTTCTGCAGATCTCTGGAGTTCTCTCTCTGCAGTTTTTTGCCTAAATTCTGGCCTGTGAACTCATCTTGGTCTTATTGAACTCTCATCTCTGTGTCTTTACCACAGGGAGTGTTCCAGGTTCCACTTGAGTTTTCCTTCCCTGTGCCTTGATCCAGAATCTCTCTCAAGATTGACTAAACTGGGGCAGTTGTTGGGCTTCATCTGTTTCCCTTCATTTATTTCTCAGAGATCATTATCCCTTATTGTTTGATATATACAGCCTTTTGGAAACCATTACTTCATATGTTTTGCTCATTTTTTTGTTGTTTCAAGCAGAAGGGTAAATCTGGTTTCTTTTACTCCATATTGACCAGAAACAGAATCTTTAGAAATGTGGATTTTTCAAAATAAAAGATTGTTTTAAATTGTTCTTGAGATTTACCACGGTACATATACTCTTTTAATAGCAAAGTGATTTCCCAAGAGAGACCTTTGAAGGCCCTAAACATGAAGTACTAAGAAGATGTCTTTGTGCAGGTTATTTCAAAAATGTAGCTCGAAGGTAAGCACTGTGAACTTGAGAGATGGATAAATGAACACTGCTGCATTTTACCATAATATTGAACTATTTAGTATTAAAGATTGACAGTTTGATTTAAACTCTGTGATTATGATGACATCAATTACAATGACCCTTTTCATAATTGTGACATGTGAAAGGGGAGCTGCAGTGGTTCATAGTGGGATATTGGAGCTCAAGTAGAATAGGAAGGGAGTCTGTAGGATAGCTGTCCAGCATGTATCAGTGCCTAAGTTGAGTGACAAGGGTTTTCTTGCAAAGAGATGGCTTTGGTGGAATATGAAAGCCACACAGGTTGAGGATGGCATCTTTGAGGAAGGGTAGGTTGGTGTGGGGTGTCAGAGCTTGAGCAGGATAGAAAAAGCACTCACATGGGAACTGTTCAGTACTGAATGTCAGAGCTTGCATGTAGTGAGAGTGGACATCTTTGTAGGGGAAGGAGTAGCTGGTGGTGACGAGAGGTTTGTTATATACAGAGGAATCAATCACATAATTAAATATATTAAGGATAATGGTGAAGGGATAGAAATACTGAAAGGAAGAAAACAAGAATGAGCTCTGTGATGTTCGATTGGAATTTCAGTGTATCATTGTAAACTTGTTTTTAATGTAGTTAGATGGGTGGATAGATATGGGAATAAAAATAGATGTTACTCTGTGTGTGTGTGTGTGTGTGTGTGTGCGCGCGTGTGTATGTATAAAATGTGTGTTTGTATGTATGTAAATATTTATATACATATATACCCTAGCTCTGAGGTGGACTGGGAGCAATGACACCATAATAGCGGTGAATATACTTAGTACCCAGATCTTGACTTGGAAAAACCATTTGCTACATAAAGGACTCAGAGCTCTGGAGAATTAGGCCTAGGAAAGTACAAGATGCATCCAGAACATCTTATTTTGCCAGCAAAGAAATGATCAATGAATGTTGAGACAATGTCAAAAGTACACAGGAGCCAGCTTGAATAGGTCCCAACTGATCAAATATGGGAAATTTTGAGCATCAAAATAAATAATGAGAGTAATGGATTGTATAATCCATTGTTTAAAATGTGAAATCATGAGTTACAGACCCAATCATGTAAACTAATAAATGAGTAAATTGAAAGTTTAACGACAAGTGGAATTACATAGTTTGGCATCTCTCCACAAAATTCTTATTAATTATAGAGGAAAGAAATAACTTTTCAGTGGAGAAGGCTGGCAGATGGCTATCTAAATAAAGTAATTAAAGTGAACATTATCAGTTATAAAATAAATCAAAATCATGTTCTTCCTGATAGAATATAATGAAAACATAGCATCACTTCTGTGATATTCCTGCCAGAGGTGCATAACCTAATTCCGATCATCCTGAAACAGATTAACTCACATTGAGGAACATATTATAATATAACTAGCCTATAATCTTTAAAGGTGTCAAGATCATGAAGGTCAAAGAAAAACTGGGGAAGTATTCTAGAATGATGGAGACTAAGGGGACCTGAAAAGTGAAGGCAAACATGATTCTGAACTGTATTCTTTTGCTATATAAGATATCATTAGGTCATTTGGTAAAGTTTCAGTGGGGTCTGAGAATTAAATATTAGTAATGTGTCAGTGTTAATTCCCTAGTTTTGTTGGTTGTATTATAGTGAATGTCCTTGATTATAGAAAATGCGCACGCAGGTATTTGGGAATGATGTGGCATAGGTTGGCAGCTAATTCTCAGATGGTTCAAGAAAAGATTTTTGTATTGTACAAATATATACTGTATAGATATATAAACAATTATAATGCAGTCTGATCTGGGTTATAATAGGAATATATATAAAGTGCTATAGGAAATCAGTTGTGGTGATTGAACTAGGGCTATTTTGACAAGGTTTGGAATAACATTTATGTAGGAAAGTATAGAAAAGGATAAGAGTTTGATATTAAGAAAATGAATTAGAAAAACGATAGATGAAATGTTTTAATTATCAGATTTTAGACTAGTGAAATCTGTAACATAATATAAAGAGATGTAACATAATGTAAAGAACACTGTGTTTAAGTCAGAAGACCTATGTTTGGGACTTGCTTTCACCAAACATTAGTTTTGTGACCTTGAGAAGGCTAGTTAATTTTTTTGAATGTCAGTTTTGACTATAAAATGCTTGGCTCTCAAAAATTTTAGGTTATTTTCAGCCTTTATTATGAAAGCATTTCATAAACTCTAAAGCACAACTACATTGTTATTGTTACTATTATACTTATTAATCAAAAATGTTTATACTTAACTGAAATGACTAAGTCATATCATTAGTTTAAGATAACTTGATAGAGAAGTTATAGTGACAGTTAAATAAACTTAAACCTGTTTATAGGGCTCTTTGTAGCAGAATATGATAATTGTTCATTATTTGACATAGTGCTCTTCTTATTTCTTTGTTATACTATTGTCTTTATCCTTTGTTTTTTTTTGGTTTTTAGATCTGTTGGGAGAACGTTTTGCACAATGGATGGGCGTGGAAGCCCAGTTCATATTCATCCTTCCTCAGCAGTAAGTACCTTATTTTTAATAAAGAGAAGAAATTTGTAAAGGTATGGGTATAAATAATATACAAACATCTACTTTTTGCTTTTTAAGTTTAGCATACATCTGTATTACATAAAGCTATAAAGGTATTGAGTTGGCCTGTGCCTCCTATTTGAGGAATATAGGGATTATTTCAGAAGAGTTTGGGCTTCTAGTGTTTAGTTGGTCTAATGTGGAATAAGGCAGTTTATTGAGTTATCATCCTTAAATGAATTCTTTTTATAGCTTCATGAACAAGAAACCAAACTTGAATGGATCATTTTTCATGAAGTATTAGTTACCACCAAAGTCTACGCAAGAATTGTGTGTCCAATCCGTTATGAATGGGTGAGAGACTTGTTACCCAAGTTGCATGAATTTAATGCACATGATTTGAGCAGTGTGGCTCGACGCGAAGCAAGAGAAGATGCAAGAAGGAGATGGACAAATAAGGAAAATGTAAAGCATCTAAAGGGTGAGTGTATCACTTATTTTAGTGCTCTAAGTCCAGGGAGCATAAATGTTCACATTCTCATATAATTATTGTTACAGGGCTTAGATCTTAGATTCTGGCTCTATCCACTCATAAAGCAAAGAGTTGTCATGAGTCTCAGGCTTAGTTATTTTGACTTCTTTCCTTCCTTCCAGTTAATCTTGTTTTTCTTAATCCTCTGTCCAACAACATTATTAACAACAGTATATACTGAGCTTTTACCACATGCTAAAAACTTGCATCACTCCAATGAATTTTCACAATAACCCCATGAGGTAAATATGTATCTGCACTTTATATATGGGGAAGTGCTTAGCAATGTACAATAATTTGCTAAAAATCCCATGGCTAATAATTGGTTAATCTGCATTCGGAATCCAAGAAACTTGATTCTTTAGCCAGTACTCTTAACTATTATGCCATACTGCTTCCCAGCGGTACTTCACTATTTTTATTTGGTTTATAAAATTTTGTGAATTATTACCTCAGAACATCATTTTTTTCCATGAAATGTTAGGTCCCCGTTTGGGAGGCATAAACAATTGTGGTACTGAACTAGGACAGAAAGCTTAATTCTCAGCTCACACAATCAAAAAGCTTTTCTGTAAAGCTTTCTGAGGCTGACTGGGGGAGCAAATTGTATTATCCTTGCTTAACATCACTGAAAAATAGAATGGTGAGGAATTTTGCCCAAGATCATAGAAGAGTCTTTTTTAGAAACAATAGACTCTAGGTATTTTGTTGCAGTATGTAACTGTGCTACATGCTTGAATAGAGTCATTTCTTCTGACTCCTTAGGACTCCATGCTCTTATTTTTTAACCGTAGACTATAGTTTCTTTTGAAAGGGCAGAATTTAATTTCCTTTTTTCCCCTTAACATTGAAAAATCAGGGCATCCCTTTCTCTCAACATTTCTAGTACTGAATCTCAAACCTAAAGTTTTACTAGATTAATTTGTAATGTTTTCAGATGGAATATCAAAAGAAGTCCTAAAGAAAATGCAAAGAAGAAATGATGATAAATCAATATCAGATGCACGTGCTCGTTTCCTTGAGAGAAAGCAGCAGAGGTCCCAGGATCACAGTGACACACTGAAGGAAACAGGCTAAACAGCGAACCCTTCAATTCAGGAAGTAGGAAAACAGCCAGGAAATGTGCTTCTACTTTGCCATTTATGTCAGACAGCACTACCAAGAAGTGGTCAGCAGCTGTTATTAGCATATGAGCTAAAAGCAAATCAAAGCTCATCAATACTAATAAATGGAAGATTGGATTGCCATAGTCATAGGCAATATTATATGAAACCAATGAAAGATGGTACATGTAGTATTTTCCTCACTCTAATTTTGCTGGCCTTAAGTGGTATAAAATGCTGTCATTGAGATATTTTGAAAGAACATTGAATTGTATGTAATCGGCGCGTGTTCATTTGCATTGAAGCATTAAAAATTATTTTTCTTAAATCTCTTTAAGGCCTTCTTGTTGCTATTAGAGTAGTATTTTATCAGGTATGTGACCATTTCCTTCAGAAGGCTGAATATAGAGGTTTTTACTCAGCAATACTTAGATGTCTAACTGTTTAATTGCTAAAGAGCTTTATAGATATTTAGAGAAAAGACTTAATCAATTAGTAAATAAGAACATTGCCTATGGCAAGATTCTTTGTTGAATTAATATTAATCCTTAAATTGATTTTTCTGGGATTATACAAATTCCTTTTTATATAAAGTATATTGTTTAAAACAGTAGCTATAGCCATTAACCAAAGGACAGATGATATATATATGTTCTTTTTTTAGCACCATGTTTTAAACAGCCCTTCCACCTGGCCTACTCTCTTGCCTCCAGCTGCTTGGGTAGAGCCATTTAAACATCTATTATGCCAGTCTTGAGATGGGATTTTCGCAGCAGCGAACACTGTATTACCAGTGTTTCAAATTGGAACTTTGAGGCTAATTAATATCACACTCAGGCCACATTCAACACTTGCTCTGTTGTTTACTGCCTTGTATTCTAGTTATTTGTGTATTTGTCTGTCTCCCCCACTAGATTATACGCTCCTTGTGGGCAGGGACTATGTCTTTTTCATCTTTGTATCTTCATGGCACCTAACACAGTGCTTTGCACACAGTAGTCACTTAATGTTTGTTAAATAAAGTTAGTGTCATTAAAATTCGAAAGGCAGTATAATGTGTGTTTTTAGATGTTTTTGTAAAAACTAGGAATCTAATTTTTTTATAGGTAACTTTAACACTTTTGCAATTATTTTCTTTGGCATCTAAACAGTTTTCTGTTCGATATTAGAAACTTGAAGCCTTTTTTTGAAAAATTACATGAGGACCCAAATCCATGTGTTTGTTCTTGAAGTGAGGTGAGTGGTGATGGTTTCTTTGAACATTCCCAGCGGTGTTAATTTGTTCATTTTAATCTTCAGTGCTCTAGACACTATCAGTACATTAGTCCTATCATTTTCTCTTCTCAGGTATATGTATCTGCATTTCCTTATATGTGGTGGGATGTATGTGGATTCTTGGAATGAAAATTCTTTTGTGTCAGTAGATATTTATTAAGCATACATTCTCAATCTGTAACCCATACTCAAATTTCATTAATTTTCCCAATAATGTCTTTTTGAATGTTTTCCCCGGTTCAGGATCCAGTCAAGCATCATGTATTATTTTTAATCTGGAAAAGGTCCTTAGACTTTATCTTTTGCTTTTTTAACTTTTTTTTTTATGCCTACAGCACCTGGTATTCCTAGGTGGTCTCCCATCCAAGTACTAACCAGGCCCGACCCTGCTTAGCTTCCGAGATCAGACAAGATCGAGCACGTGGCCTCATTTAACATTTTTCAATAATGTTTTTGACATTTTAAAATAATACAGGCTAGTTATTTTACAGAATATTCTCGATTTGGATTTCTCTAATGTTTTCTCGTGGTTATGCATCTTTATCTGGAACACTGCTTAAGTGATACAGTGTCTTTCCTAAGACATCAGATTTGGAGGCACATGACTTTGGCCCCTTATTGATGATACTAATTTTGATTACTTGGTTATAGGTTTTTAAAATTTTTTCAATCTAGTTACTCTTATAATTAATAAGTAATTTGGGGGAGGGCTACTTTGAGATTATGTGAAGTTACCTATTTCTCACAAATTATCACCCTCTGGATTTATCAACTAGTGTGATTCTTGCTCGAATCGGTTTTATTCTTATGGTTGCAAAATGGTGATGATTCCCTCCTCCCCCACTTCTTTCCTATATTCATTTGTTGACATAAGGAAGAGCTTTCCTTGAAAAAGAATTTCTAATAAACATATGGGTGCTAGGAACAGCACAGATCAAGATAGAGACTTAGCAGGGAGCATTTCAATGAGAGGTAGCAAACTGTTCAGTTTATTCGGTGCATAGAGTATCTACAGGAGAGTTAATAGGCTGAAAATGTTGGTTGAAGACATTATGGAAGACTTTCAAAGCCACCCTATGGAATTTGTACATATTTTGTACTATATATGAATTTCTTGGAGGGGAATGACATCATTACAGCCTTAAGGTAATTGTGAAAATGATGTCCATAAGAGGAACTTATTTACATTGAGAGGGCTGTGAGAGAAGTAGTATGAGAGGAATAATACTGGATCTAGTTAAAGTGGGATGTTGTCTTGGAGGAAAGGCAGCGGTTATGAAGTTTGTTCTTTAAAGAATGAGGATTCACCTTCAAATTTAAGTGAAACAAAAGAAACAAATGTAGACACATTTTATCATAGAAAATTGGGCAAAGGACCCAGTCAGTCATTTTATAAAAGAATGGTCAATAAATAAGATCCTGAATCTTCCTAGAAATTAGGGAAATGCAGTTGACAATAACAGCGAGATGCCATCAGATTGGCAACAGTTCTTTCCCCCCAGATTGGCAACAACTAATATACCTGAAAAGTATTGACGTAGAATAAATTGTTCTTATTTTAGAAAACATTTTGGCAATGTCTAGTGTATAATTTGTGACCCAGCAAGCCTATCTTTAGGTTTATATCCTAGGACCTCTGAGATTATATAAAATACTTTGTTCCTCATAAAATGTGACTCCCATAAATTTAGCAGCAGTTGATTTGTTATATACATAAAAATCTTAAATATATTCATAAAAATGTGGTATACTCCACTGTTTCTAATAGTAAAATATTGAAAACAGTATGCTTATCGCTGTCAATAGAGAACTGGTTGAATAAATTGTGATATGTTCTTATGGTCAAATTCTTTATAGCAGTAAAAGTGATTTTTGAGACTCCTGATGCCTCTTCCTAAATTGCTTTGCAGAACAGATGAACCAGTTTATATTCCTAACAGCAATGTAGTAAAGTGCCTATCTTACTGCAGCCTTGTAGTTCCTCTAAAATATTCTTTTATAGACCAAAAAAGGTGCCTTATTATTATGTGAATTGACATATTTAGATATTCAACTATTTTTTATGTTCAAATTGTCAACAGGAAATAAAATTAACTCACTTGACCATAAGGCCAGATAGTAAATATTTTAGGTTTTTGGGCCATATAGTCTCTGTTACAACTACTCTGCTATTGTAGTATAAAAGCAGCCATAGATAATATATAAGTAAATGGATATGTCTGTGTTCAAATAAAACTTTATTTATGGATGATGAAATTTGAATTTCATATAATTTTCATGTCAAGAAATAATCTTTTGATTTCATTTCTTTTGACACTTGCATTCTAATCTAGGGAAGCAACTTTTCACATACCTACTCTAATTAAAATTATTTCATTTGAAAGAAATATCAAATTTTGCTGAAATGTCAGATTTTGCTGGTTTTTACTCTTTCTTCATAGCAGATAGGATTGAGAATGCCAGGAATCAATAAATTAAAATTTGAATCTTTATTCTCAGAGATTTTCAAAGTAATCCATATTGCTTGTTAGCTTTTTCTTTAACCTTAAAATGAATAGAAAACTCTCTTGTAAAGCTATTGAAAATTTTTCAAAGAAAAGAATCACATTATTTGTTCAGATAAAATCTCCATATGTTTCTTAACTTAATATTACTTGTTGCTTAGCGAAAACATAGGAAATGAGTTGGGTTAACCCAGCATGTACCCAAGCACCCAGTTTGGTGCTTTTTGTATTTGGTGGTATTCATAAATGATTGTTGTGCTAACTCCAGGTGTGATTATTAACATAAGTTAGCCTAGGCTTCGAAATGCTTCGCTAGCTTAAGAAGTAAATCGATTTTCAACTGACTGTTTAAGGGAAAGTAAGACGGACTACAGCAAATAAGGAGACAGAATTTGTGTGGTTGGAGAGAGGAATCGGTTAACCAACGGAAAGATTATCAGTATCACCTTGAGGACTCTTTTGAAGGGTTTTGCAGTTACTAGTCTGTAACTTGAATTTACACTAAGTAGGTCAAATGAAGAATAATTTGAGTGCCGCTCATTCTTGCAGATAGAAAAATTGGAAAGTCAGCTCAGACTGGGGCTTTCCTTTTACAGTGTGCAGCACTTATAGAAAACTGCCATTGGTGCCAGCCATTCCATTTAGTTCCTTTTCAGGAAATGGAATTTTTCAGCCCTCCTCAGTAATGAGGGGTATAATCTCATCTCTACATCTGATTTTATGGTTAGCTAGATAACTCGAAAATAGAGAGACTACCAGTAAAGGGCTGTCTTTATCAGGTTTACATTTTCACCCTGTAGAAAGCTTTATATTGGCATACCTAACCTGAAGAGACCTTTTCATTTTTCATCCTTTGGTGCTAACAGGGTTGGCTCAAAAGAAAAAGAAAAAATTTAAATCAATAAATATGAGGTAGGCTCATATTAATACTACATATTTTTCATTGCTGGAGTGTTAATGGAATAAATAGTAGTTGTATGGCTGTATACTGTACAACATTAAACTCACGGTTATTTGGAATATGATCAATCAGGAAAAGTAACCAGGTTTTTGGTTCATTTTACATAATCCACTTATCAGTCATGACACACTGAAGTATGACATTTTTAAAAAACTAATTTCTAATGTATCCTAAATTTAGTACATACTCAGATCAGTCTACATTTGCAAGAGTACTATGTGAAAATTTCACAGTGATGAACCAAGGCCTTTTTAAGATTTAGAATTGTTTTCCCCATATAAAACATTTTTAAAAAGCCTTTTCAAAAGATTTTAACATTTGAGTATTTTTCATTGCATGTACTGAAAAGTATTTGGTGACTTAAAGTAACTTCCTTGAAACTTTGTTATTGAGTTAACCAACACTTGGTTTACCAAATCTCAGTCCTTAACCACACCGAAGTAGTTTACTACCATAATAAGGCAGCATATGTGCATCGCTACTCATGGAACTACTTCTGTAGTGTGACAGAATTGTGAGATTGCTGAGAGAACATGTTTGTGGGCCATTGCTTGCTTTGAATTAAAGACAGTAATAACTATAGGAAGTGAAAAGAGAGTTCTACATATTTAGAAAGGAGGGGGAAAATATGCCTTAATAATCATTCCCCTGCCCTGAGCCTCATTGCCCCTTCATTCTGTAGAGCCTCTCAAACTTCTTGTGACTTTTGTTTTTGGTTGTGAAAAGGATGTTGTGATGTGGCATCTGGCTCCCTATAGATAGATCAGCAGAGTTATACACTGGGTTTTTCTATCCACAATGCTCTGTGTATCACTATATTTGAAGCAACTTTCCTGAGGTGATTTTTTAAGGTAATGTTATGAGCTTCTTCATTGCTCAGCTGGGATCTGATTTAATCTTGAGAAAACATGCCAGGGGCCTATAAAATATGACCAGATTCCAGATTGTATTCCCATAGGGCTAGTCTTGGCACTTCACCTGGAATATGCTCAGTCCTGAAAGAGAATAAAAGGGTCACTATAGATCTTATTGCCATCCATGATACATTATAAAACTTGTCTACATAAATTAGGTTTAGGACAAGCCTGAGTGAATGATATTGAATACAATTTGGTCCATTTCATTCTAAAAAAGGCCATGAAAATTTTTTTCTTGCTTTGGGTGAGCATTGCCTATAATCATTGCCTTGTACAGGGCCAAAATAAACTGGGTACTGTATGTTGACTGATACCTGAGCCACTTACTGGGCATTTGATTTTCTGCTCTTTATCTAATCCTGCTGGGATTCATATCATTGGCCCTAGG